AGAGCGAGAGAAAGTCCTTCTTTTCATTAAACTAGACATACCCAGTTCCTGCAACCGTTCTTCATATGTTTTAGCCTCCAGTCCCCTAATCCTCTTTGTTGCTCTTCGTTTTACATTTACGATTTCCTCTTTACATTTATAATTCCTATAGGCTAATATTTATATATATAAATATTCTATTTTCATTCCACTCCACAATTCTTAAAGGGAATGATATGTTAAAATCAAGAGAGATTTTTGCCTCCCTTGAGAGTTTTCCCCATTTCTCCTTTAGGGGAAATATTCTATCTTGCCTTTTTAACATCCCCCCCAAATATTTAATTCACTAGGAGGGGGTGTGGCTGACTATCTACACAGGGACAGTTCTAAATTTTTATCTCCTGATCTGATGGCTAGAACATCGAGGGCCACTCATACGTTCATTGTTTTCAGCGCCATTGTATCTTTAAATGTTTCCGCTAAACAAATGGACGGAACTCAAGGACTGGCCTGAATAGCACGTTGTTATCGGGGCCTCTGCAAGGATGGGTCAAAATAATCAAGATGGCGGCTGCAACTGCCCAATGCATTTACTTGCTTGTGTAGAAAGAGTCCTTGGCTTCATTCACACAGTTCCATGCTCCACCGTGACTCTTTTGAGCCCTTCTGTCCATTGAGTCTCTTGGTTCTTATCCAAAAAGGTGATCGGTTGTAAGCAGTCTATCGTCTTATTGGATAAGTGAGCAGAAGACTTGGGTTCTATTTGCTAACAGGCAAATATATATATATCCCAGTAAGAGTATGGCTATCTGATGAGAGCTAAATCGCTTGAAATAGATCTGTACTGGGCTCCCTTCATTTATTTATCAGCACAAATGCAACACAAAAATGGTTTTCTGCCGCGAAGGCCCCTAGGGTGGAGCTGAAAGGCAAAAGGGAAGCAGTATGCTCCCTCTCAGGTACTTTGACATAAACACTTAATATATACAGTATATTTAAATGGAATGGAATGGAATAGGAGGACAGGATGGGACGGGAAAGGACTAGACTAGACTAGACTAGAGAAATAGGATAGGATAGGATAGGATTAGAATAGAATAGAATAGAATAGAATAGAGAATAGAGAAAATAGAATAGAATAATATAATAGAATGTAGAATAGAATAATAGAATAGAGAATAGAGAGAACAGAATAGAATAATATAATAGAATGTAGAATAGAATAGAATAATAGAATAGAACAGAACTAGACTAAACTAGACTAGAGAAATGGGATAGGATAGGACTAGTATATAATAGAATAGAGAATAGAGAGAATAGAGTAGAATAATAGAATAGAATTTGAATAGAAGAATAGAATAGAATAGAATAGGACTAGACTAGACTAGAGAAATAGGATAGGCTAGGAATAGAATAGAATAGAGAATAGATAGAATAGAATAGAGAATAGAATAATATAATAGAATGTAGAAAAGAATAGTAGAATAGAATAGAATAGAGAATAGAGAGAATAGAATAAAATAATAGACTTTGAATAGAATAATAAAATAGAATAGAATAGAACAGACAGAACTAGACTAGACTAGAGAAATAGGATAGGATAGGACTAGAATAGAATAGAATAGAGAATAGAATAGAATAATAGAATAGAATATTTAATAGAATAAGAGAATAGAACAAAACTAGACTAGACTAGAAAATAGAATAGAATCGAATAGAATAGAATGTAGAATAGAATAATAGAACATAGAATGGAATAGAATAGGACTAGATTAGACTAGACTATAAAATAGAAAATAGATAGTATAATATAGTATAGAATAGAATAAAAGAATAGAATAAAAGGATAGGATAGGATAGATCTTGGAGATCTTCTAGTCCAGCCTCCTGCTCAAGCAGGAGAACCAATACCATTTCAGATAAGTGACAGTCTACTGCTCTCTTATTAAAAACACATTTTGAACAATAGGGTTGAACTCTCTATTGATTTTGCCAGCTTTACGTGACTTTCATATTTCGTTAATCAAAGGAGACTCTGCAGCCTCCAAAGTGATTTATAAATATCATTCCACTGGCCAGCACTTGTCCTATAGGCTGATGTCTTCTCCTCCTTGTAGACCATTAGCGATGTCTTCAGTTATTCGGAAAGGAGGAGGAGCAGCAGCTCCCGGGGCTCTGGAAGTAGAGAAGATCATTACAAAAGCTCCTTTTTCCTTCGGTCCACCTCCAGAGGTAACGTGGTCCCACTCTGACTAAGGACGTCCCTTTACGATTAGGCCTTGTGGTTTAATGATGGTAACTGGGACCGGGAATGCCATGGTTAATAGCAATAGCAGTAGACTTATATACCGCTTCATAGGCCTTTCAGGCCTCTCTAAGCGGTTTACAGAGAGTCAGCATATTGCCCCCAACA